GATGGTGTTCCTTTATTTCTTGTTAAAATTTATGAGAATTTACATTTTGAAACATTTCATTGTGGAATAAAATGTTTTATAAAAAGTTTATGTAAAAATCGTATAAATATTGTTAATACTTGGTCAAAGTTTGAGGAAATGCTACATTTTTTAAATGTCATGGATATTGATCATAAGAAAAACATTATTCAGCAACAAATATCAGTTATGTCTGCAAAGCTTATTGGAAAAAAAAAAATATGAATCAGATACTATTATACGTAGTTTTGAATATTTTTCAACATCTCGTTCTTTATACAATAAACTAAGAAACGATTTTCAATTGCCATCAGTTAGTACTTTGACACGAATAACATCAATAGTTAGCAAAATTGATAATGCTAGTTTCTTAGACTCAGTTTTCAAAAACATTGAAGAAAAACAAAAAATTTGTATAATTATTCATGATGAAGTATATGTCAAAAAAATGATGCTTTATCATGGTGGAACATTGTTTGGTAAATCTTCAGATGATCCATCATTATTGGCTAAAACTGTGTTAGGAATTATGATAGTATGTCTCAAAGGTGGTCCGAAATTTCTGTATAAAATAATTCCAATTTCAAAAATAAGTTCAAATTTTCTGTTTGAACAAATAAACTCCAGCATAAAACTTATAAAATCATCATCAATCGTGTAAACCAAGCATTTTTTAAATTATATTGTATTATTCCAGAAAAACCTTGGAAAACGGAAGATGGGATGCATTTACTGTTTGACTTTGTTTATCTTTTGAAAAACATTAGGAATCTATGGCTTACAGAAAAAACTGAAAAACTAGTGTACATTGATAATGGTATTCAAAGAACAGCTAAATGGGAGCACTTTAAATGCTTATATCAATTAGAATTAGAAAAGTTAGTCAAATTGTCAGACTTAAATGAAATTGCAATAGCTCCCAAGCCAATTGAAAGGTAAAATGTATCTACTTGCCTTAAAGTTTTTTCAGATAAGACATATCATGCCTTGCTGACCTATTCTCAAATAATTTCAAATTCTAAGGATAATGCAATATTTATAAATAAAGTAATAACCTGGTGGAAAATTTTGAAAGTGAAAGGTTGTGGAGCTGGTGTAAGACACAATGATCCACTAGAAGCACCTATTTATAGTCCTGATGATTGCCGACTTAATACTTTCAGTTTGGTGATATGGCTCTCGAAATGTGTTGTAAAAATGGCAAAAGAGTAAAGCAGTTATCTAATGATACTGCAAAATCAATTCACCATACTTGCTATGGTATTGTAGAGCTATGTAAATATTTATTAGCAACAAGTCATGATTACGTTCTTCTTGGTATGTTTACAAGTGACCACTTAGAAAAAGAATTTGGGAAATTGAGACAAGGCTCCCGGGGTGCCTACTTTATAAATGCTCAACAAATTATAGAAAATTTGCATATAAATCACACATCACTGTAATTATCTTTAAATATTGACATAAATTCTTTCGATTTTAGCTCAGGTCATGAGTGTGCTTCTTGTACATATGTTTTATGTGAAGCAGGTTGTGAAATATTTGACAATTTAGAAAAACTAGAGTTATCAATTTCAGATACTACAAAAATGTCTTTGATTTATATTGCTGGTTATGTATGTAGAAATGAATATAATGAAAACAATTTGTTCAACCAAATATTATTTTATTATGAAAAGTTTGGTGAGTACCTCAAATCTATAGATCGTGGTGGTCTTAAAATTCCACCAAACAATATTTGCCAAAGGGTTTTTTTTTGCTTTGCCTTATTCCATTCAGTAAAAGATAAAGTTTGTTGTAAATCCTTAAGTGACATTTTTCTGCTGGTTTCTGAATTTTACTATTTTGAAATAAATCAAAAACATTAACACACTTGACAATATTTTTTTTTAATAATTTTTGTGCACAAACCACACCAAGATCTAATAAAGAACCTGCATTAAAAGTTTTAAAATCATCATAAATTTGTTTAGTTGAACTTAAATTCAAGAATAATTTCAGAAATTTGCCCGATTCTTACCAAAAAAATGGCTTTAAGTACTTAAGAGGCATTTTATTTTTGGAAAAACTCTAAAAGTGACACCACTCCAAATTGCTTGATTTTTTTATATATATTACTTAAAATAAAGAAAAACTGTTAGGAAAAAAAAATTGAAATCCAGATTTAAAGTTTTTAAAAGACTTTTTGAATAAATTTTCAAAGTCAAGTTTTTAATTTCTTTGAATCCATTTTATTGAAAGAAGAAATTGAAGTTACACATAATCATTTTAGTTAATATTAGATATAACCAGAGATGATTCTAAAAATAAAATGAGGGGGGGGGGGAGGTAAATCCTCAGTACCTAAAAAAAAAAAAGGTCTTTAAAACAAAAATTTAACCGACTGAATTGTGTCAAACTGCCGACCACCCGGCTAAATCAGTAAAAAAAACTGAAAATCACCTTCTTTAATGGGGTAGGGGGTGTAACACTCCCACACACACCCGTAAAATCGCCTCAGGATGTAACTCATAAATCTCTCTAATAAGTATAACAAATTTGCTTGAAATTGTCCAATTGGTTAATTATCATAGTTCATATGTACTAAAACATTCTTTTTTGTTAACTTTCAAATTGAAGTTATTTCTAACGGCAAAGAGTTGCTCACAAACTTTCTTTTAGAATATGTAAGCATCGTAGGTATTTTGTCTAAAAATACTAAGAAAGATTTGCGATACCTATGACCTATACATATCAAGGCTCGAAATTGAGAAAAAAATTTATAGTATTCTTACAAAATAACACCAGAGGCGCTAAGTTTTTTAAAAATATAGTCATGTTAAAATGTCAATACAAAAAAACTCGTGTGATTTAATCTCACACATGGTATATATATATATATATATATATACCATGTGTGAGATTAAATTATATATATATTATATATATATTATATATAAATGTATTATATATATTATATATAAATGTATTATATATATTATATATATAATACATATATATTAAATATATATATAACTATATTATATATGAATATATATATATATATATTATATATATATATTATATATATATATATATATATATTATAATATATATATATATATAATATAAATATATATATATATATATATTATATATATATCTATATATATATTATATCATATATATATATATAGTATATTAAATGCCGGTAGTGGTGTA